GCATTTTGTTCTTCACCTAACATAAAAATATAGCTTTAAATATTTAATGACTTATATTTAAATCATCTTACCTTATAAAAAACTTAGTCAAATAAAACAATTACAGAAATATTAAAATAAATCACTTCGTTAATCACAAAATTGGACGAATATTAAAAGCGAAAACTAAACACGTGCACACCCTGCTCTATGTAAACAGAGAGGTCAGGTCTCGTGCTGACGTCACTAACTTGGCATTTCTGGCTAACATTGTAGAATAGGGATCTGGCTATCCTTGTAGTATATAGTCCTTGGGAAACGGGGCTTAAAACTGAAAACAAAAGCCGTAGTCGCCAAGTCTCTAAGTTCAAAAAATGAATCGCCTCACCTGCGAATGACTCGCTTTGATTTAGAGAAAATTGATGCAGATACACCGAATATATATATATATATATATATTACAAACTTATTTCATTAGTAAAAGTGCATAGTTGCAAAATAATTCATTTTATTGTTTGGGCTACAAACAGTTCAAATCCGCTACTTTTGGAGCACAACCACGCTCCTTTTTAACCTTCAGATCTGGCAACGCTGATCACTAGTCTATTCAATGTAGTACGAATTTGGCGTAAGTCTTGGCCCTTAGCATCGGAATTTTGTAGTGAAGGGGGCGATACTACGTAACGGTTTTACTGAAAGGTGCGACGATTCGTTAGAGGTTGAGAAACACTGCTTTAAAGTATATAAGGTTAAAGGTATAAGGTCATACAAGTGGTATTAAGTACACTGGACTTGGTATACTAATGCAGATACTGTACCTCTATTTGATTAACACCATTTTGATATACACAGTAGCAATGAGGAATTAATTAACCACGGTAATTGAGGGATACCCATATAATAAATTTAAAACGTAATATAGCATTCTCACTGGCTTCACGAAGAAGTTTTAACTATATCTCTATTGTTCTCAATTAATTAAAATATAGTTGATATCGAATGAATTTATTTTTTTATTCTGGACCAAAAAAACATTTTTAAATAAACAAAGAGCATATCTTGGAGATATTTTTTCATACAATCACAAGAAATATTGAAGTCCAAATGTTTAATAATTTGATCCTTCTTTAATTAATTTAACCTTTATTGAAAAATAAATATTTTGCTAAAATGCTTTCTAAAATATGGGATCTTCCAAAATGGATGCTATCGTTTTAAACTACTGTAATTATATTAACCGTAATCATCCTTTGCATTGTATACGGCTTCCAGGAAGTGCTGTAAACAAAAATGACGACTCCACAATATGGAAGGTGTTTTGTGTTCTGCAGTTTCAAACCTGGAATCACTTATTGTCGTATGATGCAAGTGGCAATTGGCAACCGTGGAACTGTGGCTGCTGTGTGAGGAGTGACAGCGGATATGCCGTAGTGAGAATAGGAAGAATTTGAGTATCAGTCAGATGTCTGCTGTGTAATATGAGGTGCACATGTCGAAATCTGTAATGGGCAAATGCGAAACTTGTACAGTTTTCCAATGTTTTAATGTCTGTTCTCGGATAATAATTAACATAATTAGAATAATTTCACCTGATAGCATTCTTTTTGGAAGATCCTGTAATATCAATATGTAAAAAGATATCTTACACAAAACTGAAAGTAAACTGCTGATAGGACATATTCTTCACTTGATACCATTTGCACTGCCCCCAAAAAATCATTTCAAGTTATGACTCTTTTTTGAAAGTTCAAATCGATCATTATTGTTTCTCAACAAGTAACTATAACATGTTGGATCGAGTAAAGAGTAAATTTCATTGGCATTTTTATTTGCAAGATCTTTGAATAAAAAGTTACTATTTCACATGATACTATTTTACAGTAATTATTCATGTCTACATTGTGTATACCTAGAATATCTTGTTTACCATTAAATATACTGAAAGATGAAGGTACAGGGTCTTCCATAATGAGTGCTACCATTTTAAGTTAGTGTAATAGTGTTAACTATTATGTGAGAAGTATGTGATGTACAGTACACCAATCCGTAGAGTAATCGTCCAAGTTTCGTCTCCCGCGTGTGCTCAAACATTGGTTGTCTACTTCCTCTAAGAAGCTCCATAAACAAAAATGGCAACTCCATGACACAGAAGTCATTTTGTGTTCTGCTTACAAAGTTGGAACTGTTTTGCTTTCTCCCAGAACTGTCAATATCACCAAAAAATGTTTGTCTTACACAGCAGATTGTTCTGAAATTGTACGCAAAACAAATGCACAACAGTGATTCCAACTTTGCAAACTGCAGAACACGAAATGCGAAGTCGCCATTTTTGTTTATGGTACTTCCTAGAGTTAGGACATGAGACATCCAATGTGAGTGGGAGATGTAACTCTGACATCTGCTCTATCGAGTGGCATATGATGCACACTTCTTGGACAATAAATAACATAATTATGGTAACTTAAAATGGTGGCATTCGTTTTGAAAGAATGTGTACATAATAAATACAATTAACCTGATAATTACTTCAAATATTGGACGAACAGCTGATTCCTTTAACTGTTTTTAATTATTAAATTTAAAGAGAGATGGCAGCGTAACCATCTACCTCCTTCCAAATTACTTAGTAATTATTTAGCCGTAATGGCCCAATAAAGGAATACGGCCATTTGTTTCATATTTAAATATACAGAAGAAAATTTAACTGGTCAGTACTATGTATGTGTACTAACAGGGATCTAGTTTTATACATACATTTGGAATAAGTATTATCCAATAGGATCTGAAATTCATACATCATTAATAAAAGCAAAAATTTTGCCATTTTTGTTTTCCTTATATAAATGATATGGTCAGAATTACTTTTATAAAGCTATGAGTTAAATAACAGTTCTGATTTAAGTAGATCTATACAAATTGATAAGATATTAAAATGGTTATTTGAAGTATATGATATGATTTCTTTTAATAGTATTAATCTTGCATATTTTGATTGATCTGTTGTTGTAGCCACCGAACAACAGAGGATTCGATGTTCTCTCTCCAGTAAATATTGGCACGAATCTTTTCCAGACTCTGATTTAATGCCTGGGCACCTGCTCCCACATTCACTTTGTTAAAAAATGTTTTCACCTAAAATAAATTAAAAAAAAAAAATATTCACATAAGATGTATATAATGCCGTAGCACAAATACAAAATTAACGCACCTCATTATAATCAAATCTTGTGCTGAAATGAGAGATAACTTCTGATATGATGACATCCATGGAGAAACTTCCCTGTCCGAACCTTCAAAAAGTAAAGAGATATGTGTTAGAGATTAACTACTTAAATTCTCTAATGAGCTCGTATTTATAAATTTAAGATTACATGTCTAGTAGCGTCGCCCAGTTTTCCCTCACAAATCTCCAAGCCAAAAGACGGCCGGCCGGATTGTGAGATACAGTTGCCAGTACAGATATGGTGTCTTGCGAACGTATTTTATCTCTGTTCAGAGAGTAATTCAGGTATCTGTAAAAATACAAAAGAACATGCTTCAATACCTCCAACAAAAAATAATAATCTTCTATTACTAATTGTTACATCATTTCTGTATTTGGTTTGATACTTCTGCTGCAGTTTTCAATGATTTTGACTCGGGCGAATAACGCGCTACAGTTTTTCTCAAACACTCGTCACTTTCCTTTTGAATGCTTCTACCCGCTGCAACAGTAGTTCCCTCTGTTTTTGTAATGCACAATACCATACGTGTCACCCCATTTTCCTTAAATACATTATACTTTTTGTAATCTGTCGGTTCTTTGTTGAACACCATGTATTTTTCCCAAGTAATTTAATGTTTTAGTACATTAGTACATAATTTAAAATTGTTTAGTCTCTTCTATAAAACTAGTAGCCAGGATGCCCCCTAGTGGGCGTTCTTTACAAATTCCCATGAGGCACGGTTCCTTTGACTTTTTTGTTCCTATCAATATGCTCTATAGCTCTGTTAAAGTCCCAATCGCTTCATACGGATCTAGATTTCTACCTATTAAACATTCTATAAATACTTTAAAATAGTTTAATTTGTTTATTTACCTTCGCTTGTAAACCTCGATTTTAAATGTATCCGCCATTTTTACAACAAATTTCCTGTGAGTCAATGTGCGACGTTCACTGACTTGTGAGTCACGGGATGTTGTAAANTTCGCGTAAGTCGGGGTAGCGTAAGTCGGGGTATTACTGTATTTATTGATGTTAAAGTGTTGTCTTTGTTTTTATTGTGTTGATCTGGATGCACTGATTTTTAATGATATGAATGGTTACATGGTTTCTATAGTAACTAAAGATATTCCCTCCTGCTCAGAGAAGACAAAGGCTTTAAAGCAGTGTTTCTCAACGGGGACGATATCGCCCCCATGTGGGCGTTTTTCCATGTTGAGGGGGCGATTAGTAACAATTTATATTTTGGGGGGCGAAAAACAATTTCCAGTAGACAATCCACAACTTCACAAGTACGGAGGCGATCTTGCTTGTGAAATTGTGGATTGTCTACTGGAGCGAACGACGAATGGAAAATGAAAGCAAAGTATCTTTATCTTTGTTAAACATTGCAACTTTATATTTATTTATACAATTAAGTGTAATGAAATTAAATGTATTACCGTCGGCCATGTTTTTATATTTTTTATTTTACTTAAAGTTTTGTTTGTTCAATACAGTAGAGCATCGATTATCCGACGTCCGATTAACCGACCGTTCTAGTCGGCAAATTTCAAATGTCCGCTAGTGATGTGGCACTACTATTTGGCTATGTCTTGGCTACTTTAATATTACTTTTGTTAAATTTTTGCATGTTTTAGCTGGCAACACGGCTCGACCATTGAAGGGAGGCCAGTATTTAAACGAGACATAATTTTCTAATTATGAGTGGTTGTTTATTTTGTGAGCAATAAAATAATTTAAAAATAATTTTTAACGATACAATAGCGACGATTATTATTTTTAAAAAATTTGTTAGGCTTAACATCGATGAAAATTCAACGCGAAGTTGGTTAATAGCGATATACTAATATACTAATTACATGGGATATCCTAATATACTATACTAATAATGTATTTTTTTCATTATTTTCGGTTATCCGATTTTTTCAGTTATCCGACCAACCTGAGTCCCCAATTGAGTCGGATAATCGATGCTCTACTGTATT